GCACCTGCTGCGTGTCAGTGGCTTGCAGCTGCGCGTTAGTGGCTTGCAGCTGCGCGTTAGTGGCTTGCAGCTGCGCGTTAGTGGCTTGCAGCTGCGCGATGGTCTCCGCCTGCTGCGCGATAGTCTCCGCCTGGCTGTTCACTTGCCCCTGCGCCTCTTGTAGGGCATGCAGCAGCTGCTGACCAGCGGCCGAATTCAATGAAGCGTTGCTAGATGCATCTGAGCCCGACGCGGCAGACATATTTCCAGGTCGACTTGGCAGCCGATGCCGCAGTGCTCGTCTAGCGCGCGTAATACGTGTCGATATGCTGATATGTGTGAGACTAAAGTCACGCGCCTCGTTCTCGGGCACTTGAGCGAGCACAGAGCATCGCTGTGACGCAACATTACAGGCAGGGCTGTGGCACATCATTGGACGCTATTTTATATTAAAGATATGCACGAACTTGCAAACGCACGCCCGCGCGGACACCTGGCCCAGACGAGGTGCCGCCCTGGAGCGATGCTAACCGATTTGTTGCCAGCGCGCTGTTCGCAATTCCAGCACAACAGTCTTTTTCTCTTAAACATCAGCAATTCGGTAGGGTTGACGAGGGCCTTCATGCGCTAGCGCCGGTGCGATGGGGGCGCGACCCTATCTTCTCTTCGTTGCTTAGCGATCTCTCGTTGATTAGCTTATAACACATTTAAATTCGCATAAACTATCACGAGCTCTTTTAGCAATCAAAGCGGCTGTGTTCTTTGACAACTTGCACGCTTGCGTACCCAGAGACCGCTGTGCGACCTAACACCAAGTCCGTGCGATGCATTGCTTAATTGAAGATTTCCACTGGCTGCTAGCCCAAGCTTCGCCACCTGGAGACTTGGGATGTTGCGTCCTCGGCGCCCACGCAAATTGCTGCCGAATTGATTCATACATGTTGAGTATGACTCAAATAGTATTCTTGATGCATTCGATAAGGAGACACTCGGGTCTTGCACGTTCGTCGATTACAGCTTGCAGCATTCGTGAATGAATCGATTAAGGCTTGCAGCATTCGGTGTTTATCTACACCTTCACAAGTAATCGGTGGAAACACGACTGAACTCAACGACTAAACTTCCCGCGCTAATCGTCGGAGTGCATGCGTGTCCAATCGTCAAATCATCGATTACACCAATCGGAGCAGTTTTTACTCGGAAAGTATCGATTGAATGAGGGAGGGGTGAGGGGGGAAGGGGGGGTGGGCCAGAAACGGTAATCTTATATTTTTTTCCGCCGCCGCCGCAGAACATGCAGCCGTACCCGCTACCACCACCTCTGCAAATGCAGCCGTACCAAACGCCGCCGCCGCAGCAGAACATGCAGCCGTACCAAACGCCGTACGCGGGTTCCCTGCCGCATCCGCCACCGATACCACCGCATCCGCCGATGCAGTCTCCGCAGCTGCAGCAGGCGCAGCAGCAACAGCAGCAACAGCAGTTCATACCACATCCCAGCCAGCTGGTCCCAAGGCTGCCGTACCAGCCACCACTGCACCAACCCCAGCATCACCAGCACCCAGCACAATACCAGTACCACCGCCAACTCATGCAACACCATAACCATCAGCTGCAGCAGAACCCCCAGGACCTCGCCAGCAACTTGGCCACCGGCCGGGATGGCACACCATTAGCATTGGCGGCGCTGCCTCCTCGTCCTCCTCCACCTCCACCGCCACCAGGCCTCCTAGCTGCTGGCCCCGGCGCGGCGGCGGCGGCGGCTGCGGCCGTGGCCGGCCCTGGCGGCTCCTCCTACCCCCTCGCCCCCAGCTGCTGCCCACTATCGCCTCCGCGCAATCCCCTGTCTCCCCCGGTGGTGGGCGACGCTGCGCAGCTGGAGCAGCTCACCCTGGAGTTCGGGGACCTGCTGGACAAAGCTTGCGAGGTAGGTGTATGGCTACCGCTACGGCTCTCTTGTGACGGGGGTGGCGGGGGCCGCTGTAGCTTTGGAGGTGGGGAAAGCACGGTGGGGAATAGGCGAGGGTGCAAACGGTGAGCTGCATCCATCGCATGCTGCTGGTGATCCGCGGCTATGTCAGAGGGTTGGTCCGGGGGGAAGTCCGGAGTACTGCCAAAACACACGGTTTGGATTGCGGAGTGCGGAGTTCCACGAGCGACGTGCTTTTTCCATGTCCTGTCCGCTTTGAAAGCAGCTTTGAAGGCAGGGGATGACGAGTCTCTGCAACACACAGCAGTCCTGCACTCCAACACACGACAAAGGGCCCTGCACACGATGTTCCGATCCAATCTGGAATACAGCTGGTCCATTCCAGATGTCTTTATACGAGGGGGATGTTTCCGTTCGCCCGTCGCCCACGCAACCGCCTAAGTGTGTGTTACATGGTTGGGGGTGCGTGACCCCATACCCATACCCATACGAGCCGAAGGCCCAAGGGCAATATCTATACGCCCGAAAGCCACGGAGAACAGGAAACACCGCACATCAGCCCAGACTTGCGTCCAAACGGGATAACTGAGTTTCGGTGAGCCCACATACGTTCCAACATCCTCGCCAGACGTACTGGTTCCCACTTCATGGCCTCCAACATGCTCTGTTAATGATCGAATCCCTCTTCAGCACGAATATCATTATCAACCGCCTTAGTGCCTTTTCCTGCTTTTGGGGAATTTAGTGTCCATTTTCGGGACGCTAGGGACCGTGCCTCTTTGACTTTTCCTGTCCTTGCCATGCTACACTTTCTTTCTGTGTTTGACCTTCATGCTGATATGTACGGCACGTGACGATCTGAACGGCGCCATGCTGCATCGGTCGGATTCCTGATGCACTGCCAGGCACTTGTGGAGATGGAGGACAAGGACGGCATTCGACTGCTGGAGTCGGGCAACGGCGCATCGCCGCCGCCGCCGCTGCCGCCGCCGCCAACTGGGCACTGGGACTTCGCCGCCAATGGTGGTGGCCACGATGGCGGCGACGAAGGATCCCGTACGCAACTGCCGCCGTCGCCGCCTCCGATGCGGCTACGCTCACCTCTACGGGTGGCTTACGAGGAACTTTGTGTCGCTGATCCTTTGCTGCGGGTGAGTGGGTTGAGCTTGGAAGCAGAAGGAGAGGGAGGGGCAGGTAGGAAGTGGAGGAGTTATTGCGCTAGGAATTGCAATTCAGCCATGCATGTCATGTTCTGGTAGTAGTAGGAATGGTGGCCAGGTAGCAACGGCAACGTGTCGAAAAGCGTCCGGGGGAGGAAAAGATGCGTCAAGCAATAAAATTCAGGGACTGGTCAGCCTGGGGATATCACTACTCTGTGCGCGCAGTTATAGCATTATCACCATCGCCTTAATAAAAAAATATTCAAAAGTGAAAACCTGTAAGCGCTCAGACTTGCTGGGTATGCACAGACGATTCGCCGGCTCCTGCAACACATATGCGCATACATTTTAAGAGGTTTTAGGGTTAAGAAAACCTGCAACCGTGAAACCATACCTTTTTACATGCTCGTTTCTGCCGCTGCCGTTCCCCCTGAAATTCCCCCTGAATACGGCAGGCACGACTGCTAGGCGACCTGGCCGTACGCTGGTTGGAGGTGAGCAGCGTAGTGACGTCATTCCTCTTCGCGAGGTTCCTCCTGCCGGACCTTTTGCACATTCCATACCGAACCTCCCGCGGCTCTGTTCTCCTCGGCCACCACGACCCGGCTGATCTAGTCTATCTGCCCAGGCCGGTTTATGGGGACTTGTTGGGCCGGTTGAGCCCGGGGTGGGGTGCCTGTCAATGGCCCCGGGGTTCCAGGGCGTGCTTGTGATGATGTTGCGGGTCCCTGTTGCTTTCCCGGCATGAGCCTTTTCCTTGGTGCGAGTGCACGGTATTCAGCGGGATGATTTCGTGATCGCACCCCCCCAGCTGGTGGGTGCTTGCATTGTTGCTGGGGCGGGCCTGACTGCCTGACTCCGGAGGGTCCTCTTCGAGGGGAGTAGTGAGAATACAAGGTATATCAGGGAAAAAGGAAAAAGGAGAGGAAAGTGACGGCAAAGGGCCGCGTGTTGGCGGGGCCGCTTTTTTGTGGAGCCGCAGTATTTTGGTTCTATGCCACACACACAACTATACACCTCATCGCCTCGGCAGTAATATGAGGTATGCAAGCGAAGCCATAATACAATTCTAGGATCTTGCATGGTCTTTTATACCTTTGGGGGGTTCCGGTGCGTATGTTTTTACACCTGTAATTCCCAACATGTTGTACACCTGTCATCCCTAACATGTGCGCTTGCGTCGTACCATTTCCCCGTACTGCTGTACCGCCGTACAACGTGCAGAAGAACGCCTGGCGCAGCCCGCTGGAGGCGTTGCTTGGCAGGGGTGTACGGCAGCGGAGCATGGACCGCATAGGGCCTTTTGAGTGTCTGGACGAGCAGCAGCAGGTGGTGCTGGGGGGTTGTGGGCTTTGGGTTTGAGAGGGAAATCCACCTGGCACGGCGTCCGCACCGGGGCTCCCTTTATATCCATCCTAATCCATTTCTGCTACCATTCGACTGCTCCGCCGTTTTCCATTTCCCTTTCGCCACTCCGGCTGTTGCGCTGTCTGGCCATGATAGCGATTATGCTTCAGCAAATCGATGCGCCCGCTCCCCAACTGCATACAGGCCAATTGGGACAGAAACCGTCGTACATTGTACAGCCACGTTGTGGTAGTAGCGCGAGCCGCCATGGAGACGACGGCTGCAGTAGCAGCAGCGGCGGCGCCGATGGTGCCGAAGGTTGAGCACAACGACCATAAGTACACGCGCGGCAGCGGCGGTAGTGATGGTGATGGTGGTGGTGGTGGTGGTGATGGTGGTGGCAGTAGCGGCACAGCGGCTGCCACATCGATTGCCACGTCTTTTGGCCGCGCCAGTGGGGATGGTAACCCTGCTGTGCCCGCTCCGGAACCACGGCCGTCACTCGCGTCCATACGGCGCTTCCTGCAAGTGACGGACTACCTGGCGGAGGGGCTGGCCGCGCACCTCCTGGGCCAGCCGCCGCCGCCGCCACTACCCGCCCCGAACCAATCTATCCAAGCATTAACAACGCCTTCCCTGCAGCCGCCGCCGGCACCGCCGCCGGCACTGGCGCAGCAGCATCAAGAGCTGCCTCCGCCTCCGCCCCCGCTGCCACCGCCGTCGCCGCGTCCCTCGTCGCTGCCAGCTCCGCCCTCACCACCGCCCATGCCTCTGACGGCGTCGCCAACGCCCAGCCTCGCCGCTTCCCCGCTCCCGCCGGTAGCCGTGCGGCCGTCACCCGGGGCTGGCCCCGCGGCTGATCCATTGGCACCTCGCGGCGCTGAGGCGGTGCTGGCCGCCGCCAACTGTGCAGACGGCGAGGGTGGCCATGGCTCCGGCGCGGTAAGTGCTGTAGTGGCCGTCGACGGCGCAATGCAAACTTCGGACGGGCTGGCGGCTGATGGCGATGGCGGAAGCCGACACGGTGGTGGAGGCGCCAGTGCAGGCACTGCCGAGGACGGCGGCGACGGTAGCGCTGGTGCTGACGGCAACGGTGTCATTAGTAGCATTGGTGCTGACGCTGGCGGCAACGGCGGCATCGTCAGCAGCATTGGTGCTGACGCTGGCGGCAACGGCGGCATCGTCAGCAGCATTGATGCTGACGCTGGCGGCAACGGCGGCATCGTCAGCAGCATTGGTGCTGACGCTGGCGGCAACGGCGGCGGTGTCGACAGCATTGATGCTGACGCTGGCGGCAACGGCGGCGGTGTCAGCAGCACTGGTGCTGACGCTGGCGGCAACGGCGGCATCGTCAGCAGCATTGATGCTGACGCTGGCGGCAACGGCGGCGGCGTCGACAGCATTTTTTCTGACGCTGGCGGCAACGGCGGCGGTGTCGACAGCACTGGTGCTGACGCTGGCGACAGCGGCAACCGTGACGGCAGTGCTGGAGTGAATGGTAGCGGTCTCCAAGCCATGGATGAACATACAGCACGCAAAGCCGCCACACGGCTGCTCCGTACCGCAGTGCAAGCCGCAGTACACCTTGCATTGCAGGTGGGCGCCTCGCCTAGCGGCCGGCTGGCACTGCGTGTCCCGACGCCAGGAGACCCGTTCGTACTCGAGCCACTGAAGCCGCCTCCGCCGCAGCCGCAGCCACTGCTGCTGCAGCCGTCCGCTCACTCCTCAGCTCAGTCCCAAGCGCCCTGCTCGAGTTTCATCAATCTCACCGCCATGCGAGCGAACAGGTTGGCTGTAGCAGTGGATTGGGTCCCCTCACGGGCGGGCTTAGCGCAGGTACCCGCCGGCCGCACCGCCGCAGCTGGCGCCACCAACGGCGACGGCAATCAACTCAACGTGGACATGCCCGGCGCCACCGCCGGCCATGCTGCCGGTTGCCAGGCTCGCAGCCCGCCTGCCGCGGCCGCCAATATAAACGCTGCGGATGGCCCCGCGGCTGTGCCGCTCAAACGGCCCCCGCCACCGTCGTACGACGGCGACGTAATCAGACAGGATCATGACGTGCCATACGCGGGAGAGCTACAGCCGCGGCGGGTCCGGCAGAGGCGGCAAGAGGAGGAGAGGCCGTCGCAGGATCAGCACAGTGAGGATAGGGCCCAGTTGGCGTCCTCGGTTGACGCCGCTATGACTGGCATGACTTACCAGGCGGATGTGGCGACGGCGGCGGCGGCTGCTGCTGCGGTGCCACAGGGCCCGATTCCGACGCCGCAGCCGTCGCCGCCGCCACCGCCGCCACCATTACCGCTGGCAGGATCGGCGGCTCCGCCGCCGCCATCACACCCGACACCGGTGCCTCTTCGCGATCGCTATCCTCCTTCCCACCATGTTATTCCGCGGGCACCCAACACCCGGGGCCTAAACAACTCCACTTCTTTCCCGGGCAGTGGCGACAGTGGCGGCGGCGGTGACGGCGGTCAGCGGCGCGAAGACGGTAACGGCGGCGGCAGCGGTGGAGGCTCAGGCAGCTTTCAAGTTGGCGACATGGTTGGATCCGTACTTTGGGTCATATCGCCGGCAATCATAAGACGCGACGCGCTGTGGAGGGAGCTGCAAGACGGTGGACCGAGTCGTGAGCTTCATTCCGCCTTCGGACGACCGAACGGGGACAGGCAGCACATGGGAGAGCCTCCTGTCGCCGCCGCTAAGACCGCTGCCGCCACAGCCACCGCCACCCTAGCCGCAACCGTAACCGCCGCTGCTGCCAGTGCCACCGCCGCGGCCGCTGACGCTGTCACCGGCGCCGCCGTAGCATCTCGGGCCGCGGCGACGGAAGCAGTCCTTAATTTGAATGGCGATGATGGCAGCAGTAGCGGCGGTGGCTGCGGCTGCGGCAGCGGTGGCTACACGGGGCCCTTAGTTCCATCGCGACGGCGGCTGTTCGTCGCAGAGGCGACTGTAGTGCCGGCGCGCGTGGTCGGATGCGGACTGCCTGACGCCTAGGGCTGGATGCGGACTTGGCGGTTTGCGAGTAGGTTTCGGCTTGCGTGTTATGCACAACTATGAGAGCTACGCAAGTTTCTTGCCCTGGGAAGTTTCTGGTTGTGAGGTACGGTTGTGGCACACTGATCAATCGCTGCCGTGCTAAGCCAGGAGGGGCATGGATCTAATTAAGCCTTACAGCAGAGGGAGAGGGCGCATTTCGGGTGTGGCGGAGTACCTTCGGTGAGGGGTGGAAGACATGCGGGACACAGACACGGACACGGACACGGACACGGACACGGACACGGACACAGTGGGCAGGCACATGCTTGCAGCATGGAAGCATGGCACCAAGGGCGGTGCCAGGGTGCAAGCGCGAGGGAGGGGAGGAGGAGGTGGAGGTGGGATGTAGCTGCTGCCGTCAGTCCGCCCCAGCCATAAACGTGACGGCTCCGGCCGGGTGTGCTGACGCGGAAGGGGGTTGCCCCTGTTGTGGTCCGTGGCTGTATGGCACATCTTTGTGCGGTGGATTGCGTGGCTTTCTCCCCTTCCTTGCCTGACGCCTCTTGACGGTGCGACCGATGGTGCTGATGTGCAAAATATGTAGGTGAGCTTCCTCGTGTGGGCAGGCGCCTACGTCCGTGAATATGCAGGACGTGAATACGTTAAGGATCCAGGAGACCTAATTTGCCCACGGCCAGCTAGCACACAGGCCGGGTGATAGTGAGTGGCTGCAGGGGGGGGCCCCTGCACCTTTTCCTATGCAGCTTCTCCGGCGCTGTGGCTTTCCTTGTCTTGCTTCCCCCGTACGCGTATCTGGATGAAACCTGTGCGTCAAAGCAATGTTTCCCATCGTGCTTTGATTTTCTTATGAGTCCGAAGGAGTGGACACAACACACCCGATGCATATTTAAAGTTGCACACGCATACTGCGCGATACCATTCCGCTGTAACACATGCCTCGGCCGCAGTACTTCGTGCCCTGGGCTAAGAAGCATGTTTTTTGTGATCTCCTTCCGGCTTTAGCTACGATACTCTACGCAAAAAGCCGATGAAGTCCGGCGCGACATAAGTAGGTGGATTAGCTTCGCAATGTGACCGGCGGCGTTGAGCGTTAATCCGATGCCCGGACATTTCGTCGAGCACCGCGGTTATATGCAGCAAACGCCGTGTGCGCATTCAACACAAAGAGTATATAATAAGCTCTCCATCCAAACATCCATCACCATGTATGCCTTTATTGTCCATTTCGTAACAGTAAGAAGCGAGATGCGGTGTCGGAGGCCGGACGAAAGCCGATGCTCTCACAGGCTTGAGAATGTACGCCTGAAGTTTATAAGATCACACAAACTGGTGTCCATAGCTGCAATTTTAAATTGATAACTCACGCTGTCGTCGCTGCTGTGCATGGCTACTTACCGTGTTGGTACATGTTAGAGGACAAAAGATAATCATGATATTATGAACTGTATATCAACCTCTCATCCAAAGTGGATCAGCGCGAAAACCCTTACCGATCTTTTCTCCAAGAAACTGGAGATGTTGGAGTACTTAGGGTTTACATGAAAACTATGCATGCTTACATATGTGTTGGTGTTGTGGCTTTGACCGCTCGATCCACACTAGTCCAAAGGCTTGGAAGCTATGACCCACGGGTCACTCAATCGCTCATTCATCGCTCATTCATGGCATATCACTCTGCCGCTCAGAGGGGGCGTAAAACTTGAACGCGGCTTATGTATAGAATTCTATCAACAACCACGCGACTGTTTAAACTGTCAGGAGGTTAGAAAGCATCTTCGCCAGTGTTCCTTTGTTACGTCTTCGAGCCTGCCCGAGCCCCAGCTGATACATCGAATCGTTAGCGATGACTTTCCAACCCGGCTTGAACCTGAGCGCATTATAAATATATCGCGCGAAAATACCTCAGAAAAACGCCAGATAGGGGAGTCCTTCTGGAAGAGGGCCACCAGTACCATCTGCCCTGTCCAATCCACAACAAAAATATACATTTGAAACGAAAAGGCAAATGTTTGTCAATGTCCTTTACCTTGCTTGGACCTGTGAGATTTAGCAGTGGGTTCATCATGCCCTTCTTCGTCTATTGCTGCTGCTGGCCGTCGCGGTGATAAGGCCCAGAATCCCGGGGCTCTGAGAGGAAAGGAGGGGTCATCGTTCATCATGGACTTGTGGGACGCAAGCTTCTTACAATTGTACGATGGAGATGCGGCTGACGTGGCAGACGACTGGTGGGACATCATCAATGGCGGCGACGGCAGCGGCGGGGAGCTTCAGGAGGAGGAGGGGGTGCCGCAAGGGGTGGAGGGCTGCCGCCGGCGAGTGATGTGGTTCTGGAGCTGCAAGACCATCAGATTTTTAAGGAAGAGATGGGGGTGGAGGGCAGGAAGGAGTTGCACGAAGGGGTAGAGGGGGCCCACCTGCTGAGCTTCGTTAGTGGCCGTGGCGATGATGGTGATGGTGGTGGGAGTGACTTGTTGGGCGTACTGGGAGGAGGTGAGGGGGAGCTTGGCAATGTGGTAAGCGACGGAGAGGGGATGGAGGAGGATGGAGGGGAGCAGGAGGTGGGAGAGGAGGGAGAGGAGGACGAGGAGGAGGAAGGGGCGGAGGAGGAGGAAGAGGAAGGCGAGGAGAAAGAGGAGGCGGAGGGGGAGGAGGAAGAGGAGGCAGCAGTAGTGCAAAGTACGGATGAGGGTCCTCAAGATTTGCAAGGTTCGGGATGTAGGGGGCTTCTCGTTGGACAAGATTACGGGCACAAGCAGCCGTACGGGCAGGTGTACGGGCAGCCGTACGGGCAGGTGTACGATCAGGAGCATGGGAGAGAGTATGGTTGGGCGTACGGGAAGAGGTGCGAATCACTTGACCGGGACGCTGACGGGGGCAACGGGCAGTACGAGGAGTACGGCGGGGAGGAAGGCGAGAGCGTCGTAATGGAAACGGAGGAGGAGGAGGAGGCGGAGCCGGAGGAGGGAGAGGAGGAGGAGGAGGAGGGTGAGGAGGAGGTGACTGAGAGTGTGGAGGAGGAGGAAATGGAACCATCAAGGTGGGACCAGCTAGCGGCCGCCAGCCTGCGGGTCCCAACGGGGCCGTCACCAGCTCCGAAACCATCCGCCGTACCCTCCTGCACTATCCCTTACACTACACCGCGCACTGAGGTGCTTCAACCTACAAGCCACCCGGGGGACGAGCCTAGGGCTCATCGTCACCGTCACCACTTCGATGATCGCCCTCTGCTGGATTCGATACGCGATGGCTTCGGGGGTGACGGCTGTGGCGGCTGTGGCGGCGGTGGCGGCACCACCGTTGTTGCAGGTGCCGCCTGCCGCAAGCGCAGCTTCGCAAGTTTTCAGGATACCGACGCCGACGAGGATGCGGTCGCGGTTTCGGATACAGAGTTGGGAGCAGGCCCTGATATGGATGTGGATGAAGCCCAGGAGCAGCAGGGGCGAGTTGCGACAGGTGGTCAGCAGTGGGAGGAACGGAGGTACTCGGAGTCCTTGCCGCTGATGCTGCCGCTGCCGCCGTCGACGGAGACGACGACGGAGACGACGACAACGGTGACAGCGACGACGGAGACAACGATAAGCGTCGGACCACCGCCCGTTTCAGCGACGGTGGCGGCGGCAGCGGCGGCGGTGCGGGCGCCGCCGCCGCCGGCACCGCCGCCAGCGCAGGCCCCCTTACAGGGCCGTCGGCGGCGGCCAGGGAGGGGGTGGAAGCGCAAGGGACCAGCACCGTCGCAACCAATGTCGCCACCACCGCCATCACCGCCGCCGCCGCAGCGGCAGCAGCCGGGACGGGAACCGACCACGGCTGCCGCCACCGTCGCCGCCGCCGCCGTCCCGAGATGCTGCTGCAGTGTGTGCGGCGCCACAGAGACCTCGGAGTGGCGGCGCCATAAGCTGTACGACAACCTCTTTACGTGTAAGGCAAGCAGCGGCAAGAAGAATC